GCTAAATGGCCTTATGGCCTCGCCAACATACCCGGCCTGGTGGACCGCCAGAAGTACGACGTCGTCGTCGAGATGGAAGTACCGCGTAGCGATACAAACCTGAAAGCGGGGAACTGGATGGTGGGTTTGGAGTTCCGGGGTCCTACAACAATCGGTCAGGGTGTTAAGCATCTACTTGGTTGGGATGAGGAATGGAGTGTCGAAGACCACAGTCAAGGCGGTACACCTGGTGCCACGGCGGAGAAGGTCGTCACAGAAGGTGCTACAAGCGAAACGCCTACCGTACTGGCAAGAAGTCGGAGACCAGTGCTTCTTACGTACCGAAGCCGGATACTCGAGATTATCTACAGGCTCATGCGGCTGCCACTGTATCTCATCGGCTGGCACACAGAGTCCGAACACATCGAGATCAGCATGATGGAATCAGTCATGTTCGAACCGGGATACCGCAATATACCGTCTTCGCTCCGCTTGGAACTACGATCGAAACTCCCTCTCGAAGTCTACCGCGCCAGCGTACGCATCAGCGCCAGATTAGAAGGGTTCCGCTGGTTGATGTACCGTTACTGGCTCACCAGCGCCATAGTCGGCATCCTCACATTCTGGGGCATGGAAATGGCTGTCCTGCTCTTCACATGGGGTATTTTTACCTTACTATTCAGCAGTCCCAGTTCCAATCCCCCATCCCAGGACGATGCGCACCAACGGAAAATAAAGAAAGAAGAAGGCGAACCCTTCCCCAAACTCGAACAAGGAGACAACACAGAACCAGGCACACCGTACAGCGACACTAGTCGTACTTTCCCCACTCTACCCTCTCAACAACCGCTCTCGTATAGCTCGCCTAGTCCGAAAGAGGAACGGAGAGAGCCTAGGCTGGAAGATATTCCTACGAGAGAGGAACAAGAAGCTGATGATGAAGAGGATGATGATTTTATTTTGGAAGAGCCCGTGCCGAGGGGCGTGGAGAGGGAGGGTGTGTTTACGGATTCGGGGATTGGGACTAGCTTGGAGAGTAGTGTTGAGAGGGGGTTGGCCAGGCGGAGGAGTGGGAGGGGGAGTGGGAAGGATAGGGATGGGGGTTAGTTGCCGATGGGGGATGGTAGTATTGGTAGTGGAAATGGCATTAGGAGGGTGAGGAGGTGTGGGGCTTGTGAGGCGAAGGCTGTGAGGAAGGTGCGGTGAGGGAAGTTTGTGTGTTGTGGTAGAGGCTGTGTTGTAGGTGATATATCCATTCCTCTGTATTCATGCTATCTCTGTCCCCTGGGTACCTCCTTTATCCCCCAGATATCCGCTCCTCATGACACACACATCGTCTCTTAAGCGTCCTTATATACCGGCACAATTCCCTCCGGACACATTGGAATCTATAGTCATAACGAATTAGTCTCCACTCCCTCATCGCAGAAAGAAACTCCCCTTTAGAACCACAACAACAAGACGAAAGCAAAAAAAAAGAAGAAAAACCAAAACTTACATATTGGTTATTATTACACCACCTCGCACACAGATTAGGCATTTCAGCTCCTCCTTCGTCTGGAAAGTTTCTCCATAACGGGTCGCAGATGTTGTCGCATTGGTAGTTGGAGCAGTAGGGTGTTGGCATGGAAAGTCTGGGTGGGGGGAGTACTCGAGCCACGTCCTTGCGTTGGTTTGGGATGTGACTGGAATTTGGGGGCGAGGTGCCGATAGCGCAGAGGGGGAGCTTTGGGGGTGTGTTAGTACTGTATTTCTTTTTCTTTTTGGTGAGGAAGTTTAGTTGGTTAAGGAAACTTACATTTTTGTCTCCCTGGCAGAGCGCATGACACATGTCTGGACTAGACAAACAGGCAGATTTGCAGTTTACAAGCGAACACGGAGTACCGGATATGCTGCTGTGCTGTTCGGCTTGTGAGGCCAAGGGGCGGGCGGAGACGGTGAGGAGGGTGAGGAGGAGGGCGGAGAGGGTGAGCTTCATCTTGGTGGTTGGGATGTGGTTGGTGGGTTGGTGGGTTGGTGGGTTGGTGGGTTGGTGAGGGTTTTGTTGAACTCTCTTTGGAAATTTTGGAAGTTGGTCAAGTTACTTGAGTCTGAGATGTTTGGTGTGGAAAGAAGAGAGAGGGATGCGTAGGTTTATATAGTTCCTTAGCAACTCAAGACCAAATTTCGATGTCCATGAGCGGGATGGAGTACCGTGCCCCTTAACTTTGGTTAAGTGAGTTAGCTTCCTGGATTTTGCTATTACTTGCGACAAGAAGTTGTACGAATGCTTGCTCTATTGGTTAGGTTCTATGATAGATGCCTTCTGTGTGGCTGGAGGAATGAGTGTGTGCTGAGGAACCCCGGTTCAGGTCCCCGAACCAAACTTGGACCATGATGACGAATAAGAACAACTACGACAGGGCCATCGATCAGAGGGGAAAAGATCGGGAACCCTTAGTTCATGGACTCAGGAACAAGACTGTTACAGTGGACTACACACGGGAAGTGTTGCTGTTGCAGATTGAAAGGTTGAGAGCTACATCCTGGCAGCGGGCGACGCATTTTCTTCGTTGAACTCGATGTAGGATTCCGGCTAGAGAATCTGATATATTACCAAAAAGAAATACTATATAAAAAACCCTCACATCCATCTACATCCAAAACCAACCACCTGCCACAATCCCAACCACCAGCCTAAAGCATCGGCCTCTCACTCGCCGGATCCAGCCCCTTCGCAAACTTCCTCTCAATCCTCTCCTTCCCCTTCTGCATATACCCCTCCACCTCCTCAAACCGAATCTGCGTCAACCCCGTCTTAACATCCATCTCACTCCTCTCCACCGTCTTCGCCTTGATAAACACGCCATTACTCTCCAACCTCTCCCCATCAACAACCTCTTTACAGAACGTAGCGTACTCGCTAAAATGCACAGCACTGCTCGGAACACTCTCGAGCAACATCGCGAAACAATGGGGCATAGCTTCGAAGTCGCGCCATACGACCGTTACACCTTGAGTGACGCAACGTTGCGCCATGACGGCATCTTCATCGCGAAGCATTTCTTCGCCGACGGAAAAGAATAGCGGTGGGCTTTTGCTCCAGTCTTTTGCAATGAGAGGGGAAACGAGGGGATGCATCAGCGCACTTGCTTCGGCATAGAAATCTGCGCGTGGGGGATCCGCCGGCCATACGCCTTCGTCTTTGGGAAATTCTCGGGCGTCGGTTGAGCTGGGTGGGGGGAGGTAGTCGTATGTTACCGCGCCCTCGATAGAAGGTAGACTACGCGTAATGTCGAGCCAAGGAGACGCGAGGGTCACGCCAGCCGGGAGTGGGATGTCTACTTGCTTGCCGTGGAAATTGACGGTTGGGGTTTGGCCAGCGGGCGTGCTGCGGTGGATTTGAAGGAGCAGTTGGAGGAGCGCGGTGCAGCATGTTCCGCCTGCTGAGTCGCCTCCGAAGACGATTTCGCTGGCGGGGACGGGGTCGTGGAAGGAGCCTGGGGGTGGGTGCAGCAGGGAGAGGTACGCTGTGAAGCAGTCTAGCAGGGCGGAGGGGAAGGGACCTTGCGGTGAGAGGCGGTAGCGTACTGAGAAAACGCGGCCGCCTGTTTCTTTCGCCAGGCGACCTGTCAAGGGCCGTGATGTCGCTGGGTCAAGGAGATACATTGCGCCGCCGTGGAAATAGAGGAGTGTGACTTTGCTCGTCGTTTCTTTCATGAGGTTCTCGTATTTGTCTTTTTCGCTCATGTCGGCGGGTTCCGGTTCATCGTCTTTTACGTTGGCTCGGTACCCATCCCATTCTGCTTCTAGAGGTCGCTGCTCAGGCTTCGTCCATTGCTCTCCTCCGGTGCTCATGTCGTCGATGGCTTTGAACATTATTTGTCGGATGTCGTCTTCTTGTGGTACGTCTAGCTTGACTTTGCTAACCCAGATTTTGCCTTTGACGCCGGGATCTTTGCAGGTTAGGCGCTGCATCTTTGAGATGGGCGTTGGTGTTGAGTTGGGGCCCATCATGTCGCGGAGCATGTTGACTGTGATTTCCGTCTTCAGGTCCCACTTTGAACTCGTCGGTGACATGGATAGAGAGTGCCATAGTGCTGTTTTCAATAGGAAAGGTGTTTTGGGCAGGAGAAGCTTGAGCAAGGCTGAAGGTGAAGCGTCCATGTTGGTGATGTTCCGCGGAGGCGTTGACTCAGGTCTTAGGTCTCGATGACTGTGAACGTGATCGGAAATCACGCTTTCACTGGTTTGGAGGTGGGAAAATTGGGCTTTCGAGGCTTCCCAGACTATGCTCAAGGTTAAAGGAGAGAAGGAAGCCACTTTAGTGGCAAAGAGGTAGTCTTGACGTCGCGCTACTAGACCAACGCGGCATATATCGATGCCTCGGCACGAGTCATGATCTCATGCACGATATACGGTCTATACGCCCACGTGGGGGAATCTACGAAGACCCGCAAGCCCCAGCGATTGACGCTAGCTGTCTTTCCAGAAGTTCAATCTTCCTTTATGTCTTTGGTACGATAAGATATCTATTGCATGTATTGAAGACGGGACCTTCACTACCACCTCCTCCTTCTCTCCCACCCACCCACCCGGACTCTATCGCTGGCGGTAGTGCAAATGATCAATCACATGTCGCAGCGTCTACACAGTCTTCAATCTTTGATCCATAATTGAGAAAACACGTCGCGTTATTGTCTAATCATCGATAGTATTCAAGTACTATGCGCATACCTAGGTAGTAATAATGTGTTATGCGGGTTAGTGGTATCTTCCCATGTCGCCTTGTACCAACCAAACGCCTAATACCTCAATTCCCTAAACAGACGATACTGTGAGCCATATCCTTCTTCTTCGTCCCAAAGCGTGGCTCGTATCCATGGCAATCCATTCGCCAATGAGCCAGCAGTCTCGTCGTCGATCATCGAATCACGACGAGAGCGTGGAGCTTCTGGACCTGGCGATGGTGGTTTCCGTTAATGGATCCTGAAGCCGGCGCGCTTGGCCAGGCTGATGATCTTCTGTCCTTGGAGTGTCTTCTACCCATCCAATTCACCCTCTTCACTGCCCCTCTCCGTCGCGTTGCCATCGCCCGTGCCATTGGCAGGAGGTTGGCTTTGGCTTGTCGCCTGTACGCCTTCCATACCGTCGGGCGTGTCCCCGAAGTCGATGCCGTCCTCTGGTGTCCGGAGCCCTGCATACATGGAGGGTTCTCCATCTTTGTCTGGTGACTTCTCGTACAGATCCGCCATGAGGTTGCATGCTCTCCGGATGTCGCGCAACTGGACATGTTGTATCTCCCACCATGGTTTTCCGTCGTCGTCCCCTAGCTCTACCTCCGCCATACGCGCGCCGGCGTACAGTGATGCTGCGGCGATCGCTCGCGATGTGAACAACAGGCACATCTGTGTGGACGTCGAGTCGGAGAGGAAGGCCCAGGCTGAGTTGCGCAGCTTCTTATTATGCTCGACTCCGTAGTACTTCATCATGTCGTACATGGTCTTGTATGGTGATTCCACGTTAAGGTCGAAGCACAGGGCCTCGAGTAGGACGTCTTCGCTGTACAGGATTGTGTCGCGCCATTTCCAAAAGTCTTTTGTCTGCTCGTCGACGAGCTTGTTGGGATCCTTGAGCGCGACCCGGACGCATGAAACAACGAGTTCTTTCATCTTGCGACAGTTTTCTTCGACTTTGGTCGCGAGGAATAACGCGGTTGCGGCGATTTGCTGGTAAAGTTAGACGCGTCCATATCGCATGTATCCTGGAGGGGGACTCACATAGTGGTGTAGTGGCTTATACCCCGGCCGTGGCTTCAAACTCATTCGCATCAGATAGCGATTGAAGAAGACGGCCGCTGTACTAAGCGTGGTCTGTGGTAATTTGAGCATCATGCCCACTTGCAATATAAACCCGACGCCCTTCCGCCGTAGTGTGCGCTCCTCCTCAGCGGGCATGCCATCGCATATCGACGGCGCCAGTAGCAGTTCTTCTTCGGTGAAAATCCACTGCATCTCGGCTTCGATGACGGCCGGCGGTGGCGGTCTGGGGGGCTCACGCTGCGGCGCCATCGCGCTGCTGGCGGTCGATACCATCACCGAGGGTTGTAGCACTAGTGGTTGTGTTTCGATGCGCGATAGTGGTGGTACAGATGGCGCGCAAAGGATATGTTCCGATCCGGTATGGCGTCCCCGTCGTCGCTGATGGATATGCTAGACGACAGTTGCAGAGTGCGGTGAGGAGTTTTCAAGTGGCGTGAGAATCTGCGTGTGGTCGGGTGAATAGTGAAAGGTGACAATAGCAGCGGTATTGTCCGTCAAGGCGCAGCCATTGAAGCTTGAGAGCTGCAAGGGCCAACGGCTCTCTTCCGCGGCGAGTGCAGGGATCACTTCCGTCAACCTCCACCACCCCAACGCCGAAGGCTAGCAGCACCACATTCGGCGACCCCAGAGCCGCGTCGTTCCTGAAAGCTTGTATACTGCTAAATAGTCTGGGCATGAAACGGATTGAGCATGTTTCAACCAAGAGAGACTCAAACGCCGTTCCTTACTGTCAAGTCGCACATGAAACTACTATCAAATGTCAACTGTGAGAAATCTATTGTACCTCGTTCTCTGTGTGAGAACGCCTTGACCGTTCCAAGGTTCCCAGTCGTGCCATGTTGATTTTAGGTACAATTAATATTACATAGGTGAGTCAACATAAGATAGAGATAGTTTTGACCGCAACCCCAGAGGTCTATATCCGACCTGCCGTACGCGCCGTGCAATGCTGGAAGTGTGCATTTTGCTCAAGATGAGTAGAACGCTTCGAATGTGTAGATAATACCGAAAACGAGGAAAGCAATCGCTCCACCAAGCGTGACTGTCCCGAGTTAGCATTACTCTAAGAAAGAGGGATTGGACAAGCTTACCATTGCGCATGCTGATCTTTCCAGCAATGGCGCGGCCACCGATGACGGCACCTGCAGTACACAGTCCGTGGCCGACTACAGCGCCGGCAGTGACATACCAGTAGTCAGACCCAGCAGCCATAGCAACAGTCGCAATTTGACTGCGATCACCCCACTCTCCGAGGAAAGTCATAACAAATGTCTGTACCCACGCAGGGCTAAGGAGGAGGGAAAAGAGGTTGTTCACGGCGCCCAAAGTGCCGCTCATAGAGCCTCCGCGCGGTGAGGGCATTCGATCGGGCGAGCTGGAAGGGCTTCGTGCGGGGGCAGGTAGTCGCGAGTTGGATCGGGAGCGTCGCACACCACGTCCAGACTCGAGGGCATACGGAGAGATGGAGGACTTCCGGCGGTTTTGGTGTCGGGCAAGCTGTTCCTTCTCTTCAAGTTCCTGCTCGACTTCAGCCATTTCCTCGCCCACGCCATCGTCTGGGCTCATAGCGAGACCCTCTCTTATGAGGTTGACACCGAAGACGAGGAAAAGAGCAGCCGCAGCGAAGTGCGTGAAGCGTTCCGAGAGCAGCGCGGGGACGGCGTGGCCCATGACAGCCGAAAGAATTGTCATGACGACCAAAGCGGAGTAGGCGGCAGAGAAGACGAGGAGTCGAGGGTGTCGCATAGCCATGAGCGCCGCAACGAGGAATGTCTTGTCACCAATTTCCGAGACGATAATCATGGTGAAAGCGAGTATGAAGGAATGGAAAGGTTGTACGGCGCCGGCGTCAACGTCGTCGAGTGTCGAAGAGGGTGTCTTGGGTGGTGAAGTGTCTAGGGGATCTTTGGTAGAGACGGAGCCTGGAACAGGAAGAGGGTTGTCATGCAGGGAGTCGGGAAGGTCGGTGGGTTTCTATAGCGCAATTAATACAGTATTATCAGCTTGAAAGTATCGCGGCTCACCTCAAGTCCGCCAGCACCGAGCACACGAGTGGTGCTTGCAGTCTCTACAGCGTCTCCGCTCAATTGCTTCTGGTCGGCAGGATGGGCGGGAGCCTCCTTTGGCGACTCGGGAACCTGTTCCATTTTCTCCCCCGTTTTCTCCTCGTGTGCCAGTCGCTCCTTGTCTTTTGCCGACACTCCACCCTCGGTGCCTGTGCTGCCAGTGGCCGGTTTCCGTGCCGGGTCCTGCATGACGCTCTTGTCGCCATCCTTGACGTCGTCTACAAGCACAGTCTCGGTAGAAGCGCCAGGCTTCTTGGCTGCTCCAAGATCTTCAACGACATTGGGAGCCTTCTTCCCTTTGTATTTTGGGTCGTCGTCCACGTATGGCCCGGCGTGGGGCTTGCCGTCTAGCCCATCGACAGGCGCATCTTTGGTTCCTTTTGGGACCGCCGTCGGGGCAAGTGAGGCATCAGGCGAGTAGGTGGCTTGGGTGTAGGCTGGCACAACGGCCCGCGCGACTGGCTTGTCGTCTGATGTGTCCACGGCAATGGATGTGGCGAGAACTCGTAAAGCGGGTAGGAGGAGAAGCAAAGTGTGCGGTCGTGGCTGTCGTAACCTCATGATGAATGCGATTCGAAGGGGAGCAGGGGTGCGGTGCGGCGAAGGCAAGAAACGTCAGCGGTAAAGGGAAGCGCACAGAGATAATCCAAGGGCTGCAAAGAGTGACGAGAATAGAAGAGGTTGTTGTGAAGGAAACGTGGATGTTTCGCCAAGTTTTATTGAACAGAACGGTGTAGGGGTCACTCTGATGTTGAGGCGTGTAAAGCAAGTCGAAGACGACCGAGATGCGCGCAAGGGGTGCGTGCAGACAGCCCACGTAATATATCCACGCCTACGTAAACCACAACGAGGGCTAGTTAAGGGGCCTTTCTGTCCGGAAGCCTGTGGAGAAGACCGGAAACATGGTGCAAATGCCGTGGTTCCGTCTCGAACTCAAACGCTTCGTATTCACATCCGTTCTGCACAGCTGGCCCCTTCTCCGTGCTGCGCCTTGAATGCTGAGGCCCACCCAGGCCCCGAACGGCGATCCACGACACTGGTCACGTGAGCACCCGTCGAGTCGCCTTAGTCAGCCACCATCGCGGACCGTTGGCGTAAACAAGCCCGCCTCCGCATCAACGCTACTGACATCACACCTTCACCCAACCTACGTCGCATGTAATACCAGCCGAGACCACGCGTTCCTACGACACTATCATGGCCGACCGCAGAAGTGTGCGGTCTGCAAGCCGGCGCAAAACACCTACTCCGCAACCACCGGCCAATGCGCCTGCACAACAATTCGGACGCGCAACGCGAGCGAGAAGTTTGCGCAGTGCCAGTCGCGAAGTAGAAGACTTTATCGACATCCAGAAGCCCACACGTCGAAGCGCGCGACAAGCGAGCGTGACCACGAACGATGGAAGTGAACATGAGGCACCAAAGGCGCGCAACACAAAGCGCAAACCCGCGAAAGAGCTGTTGGGAGGTTAGTAGCCATAGCCCAGTTGCTCGCTTGCGCATTTCCAATCAGCGCAATATTCACTACTGGCTAGACAGAGCTCAGGCTAATTACGCATGCGCCAGACCTCACAGTGGTTGAGGAAATAGACACCGAGATTGCCCTTGAGGAAGACGAAGTCCCAGGTACACCAGCGCGCACCGAGCCTGACGTAACCTTCCGCTCACCGGGCGCCGCATCGGAGATGTCCGGAACCACTGCCATCACCTCCTTCAGCATGATAGAGGCCGAATTCCTGGAGCCCAGATACATTGTCAAGCATCTGCGCAAGCTATGCGAGGCTACAGAGGATTTTTTGGAGCACATTGCGCCAAATCACGCGGCAATAGAGGATGATCTGCAAAACATACAAGAGATGCGAAAACCCGGCTCAGTCTACAGCAAAGATTACCAGGACTTCGAAGACGAACTGAACACGCAGTTGAAGCATTACAAAGGCGTAGAACACAGCTACATACACATCAGAGCAATTCACCGCGCTCTTTTTGGGACAAGTGAGGATGTCACAGCATCACAGAGTGGCCTCGATCTGATCCTCTACCTCACCAACCTACTGGTGTTAGCGAAGCAGATAATGCATTCAGATCGAGATGATAAGAGTATGTGGGATGTACTACGACAACTAGACATTTCGTTCCCGACTCAGTTTCTGCAGTCGCTCGATTCGGACGCGCAACAGTCAGCTGCAGGAGAGAGTGCGCTATACAATGAGACCTTTGAGCTTGCGCTAGAACTGCGGACACAACTAGCAATACTCGTCCTTCAGAAATCGACCGACAACCCCAGCTTTGATCCCACAGAAACAATGGAGGAGGTTTTCTTTCGGTCTGACTCGTCACAGTCGGTAGAAGCTGGCTCGCCGATCCGTGGGTGGAGCACAGCAGCTTTGGGCGGTGACGAATCAGCGCTACCCGAAGAATTCGAGGACCAGATTGTGACCCGAGTAGACCAGATCCGAGCCTCTTTCTTCTGGGATGGGCAAGATAGCCAAGCTGTTGACTTGCAACAACTTAAGTCAAACTTTCCGTGGGTGGCAACTGTTCTTCGCCTGTTAGACTGGGTGCGTCTTCGGCACAAGGAACTCAAAACGGCCATCGATAATCTTGGAGGACCAAACACTATCATGCGTAACCTCAAAGAAGCCCTAGAGGAACCTCAGCACGTCACTCAAACAGCGCCATCTGCTCCACGAGAATCATTGCGTAAAAAACGAACTTCGTTTGGACGAGACAGGCGGCGCAGTAGCCGTAAATTTGACCCAAATGCGAAGGTGGATTTGCGTGCTATTGATGTTTTGAAAGAGAAAGAACGTGATTCGGGTGTACATCTGGGACTCGCGGCTTCTCAGCCTGATCGTGAAGAGACTCTTGTTCAGCAACCAGTTGAGGAGGTGGAGAATGAGCAACCGGGAATGGACGACCAGCCACAAGACGAACAACAGACAATGGTCGGAAGCGACACGGCTTCTCAGCAGGAGCAGGAGGATATTCCTCAAGCCATCGAAAAAGTGCAGAACGAGCAGCCAAGGACGGAAGACCAACAGGATAATATGCAGGTGGTAGATGAAAGCGACGGACCGCAGCAGCCCGATGAGGAGCAGTATGAACAGCAGCAACCCCAACAACAAACGACGGAAGAAAGCCGAATGGAAGAGCCCGAAGAACCACTCGAAGAGCAGGTCGAAGCACCTCAAGCATCAGGCCCACCGCAAAGCTCAGCAGCTCTACTAAAAGCTCTGAAAGCCGTTCCAAAGCCGCAGAAAGAGAACCGCCCAGTATCGATATTCGATCGCCAACCGACAGCACAGCGCATCGAATTCGGCGACGGTTTCGACAGCACCATGCCAACACCCGGCCCGTCAAATACAGCCAAAGGAAAGCAACCCGCACTGCCATCCCCACGCAAACGTAAGCGCGTAATCGACATCTCCGACTCAGAATCCGACGAATTCGAAACCGCAGACCGCGGCTTCCGTGCCCCAGAACGCCGTCGCAACGCGCCCGTCTCAAAGAAACAGCGCACCACCGAACCCATACCCTCTTCCTCCGCAGCACCAACAAGCCACCAACCCCCTCCCCGCGCAGAATCCGAACAAGAAGAATCAATCTCCGAAACCTCTGCGCCCTCCATGTCCGAAGAACCGCCCTCGTCAACCTGGCCCGACCAACGGCGCCTCGCAAAAGAGAACCGCGCTCTCGAAGTCACCACGCAAGAACGGGCGGCCGAACGCAGAGGCCGCCAGAAGTGGACTGACGACGAGGAAGACGCGCTGATACAGTATATGAATATGTACCGTGGGAAATACTCGAAGATTCTGCAGCATGATCAGGATGATCATGGGCCGAAGAGGTTGATCAATAGGAATCAGGTTAATTTGAAGGATAAGGCGAGGACGATGGCGCTGCATATGATCAGGTATGTTTTTCTCATTTCGTGAACCCTACGATAGGGGAAGATCATATGGCTTATGCTAACATATTGTTTTTAGATCTGGAGCTGGACTAAGACCAGGTTTTGAGATGATCATCCACCCGGGCATGAAAGAAGGCAAGGCTTTAATGGCCGCTGGGTGGGTAATGCATGAAGATGGGTCTTGGGAAAGGGCTGCTAGATGATCGTTGAAGGGTTGTCCGCTTGGATAGGATCTCCAGGACAAAGGCGTTTTTCGGTTGAATATTCTTGATACCCACCGTCGCCATATCGGCGTTTTACTCAATCGTACAGTTGTTAGTTCTCAGACATTTACTTGCCTTGGTTATCAGGCAATGTCCTTGACCTCAAATCATCTCCCTCCACCTAACCCCCCACTCCCCCTTCGCAAAACTACTCTCAACAACCACGCCCTTCATAACAGCCTCACACTTCTTCTTCTCACCTTCCCCCTCAACTGCAAACCCAAACGCACACCCCCTCCTCGCCGCCTTCCTCACCATCTCCCTCTCATCCGCTCTCCGCTGCCCCTCCCTCCGCTTCAACTTCATCTCATCCGTTTCTTCGATGCGTTCAGCCCAGCCTTTTTCTCCGCCCACGCTGCCGTTGACGTCGTTTTGCGCTTGGGGTGGGCGCACTTTACCGCCGCCGTAGCCGTATTCTACGGTGTCGGGGAGGGCGTCTGCGTCTGCGTTTGCGTCTGCGTCTGTAGAAGAGGCTGTTTTGGTGGGTTCGAGGACTATGCCACCTTCGGCTTCGGCATCGGAATCTGATACGCTTTCCTCGTCGCTGGTGTAGTCTTGTGGGGGTGGTTGTCGTGATGCTGCGGATGATGCGTCTGTTGTGGCTGTAGTAGCAGGTGTACTGGATGCAGGTTGATCGACCATATCCACGCTCTTCCAATCCTCGGGCTTCTCGACTACGAAACGCGCTTTCCGGTTCTTGCGTCGTCCGTAGACTTTTTCGGGGTCTTTTTCCCGCTGGAAGACTATCTCTTCTACTGTGCCGCATTCGATGATGATTCTAGTTTCTCCTTTGACGGTTTTGGATGGCTTTTTCTTATGCTTCTTCTCGCCTTTGCCGAATTTGGTGTCGTCATGCATAGTCTCTGATTCTGCGTTGTTCTTGACTGGGTCTGCTCCGGCGTTCTCTTTTAGTGATTCTGGTGATGCGCCGTTCAAAAGGGCGGCGAATGTGGCTTCGATCTTGCGGTCGGTGGGACCTGGTTTGCTATTTCGGCATCGTGCCGAGCAATATTTGACTGCCGTTGCGTTTTGAGTCTTGCGGCGCTCGCTGATTACGCGCCCGCAGCTGTGGCAGTAGGGTACTGTGTCGCCGACGGTGAGGTAGAGGGGTGGTGGGGTGACGGCGTGCTTGCTGGGCCGCGACCAGGAGTCCATCCACGACATCTTGCTGAAGCTCTTGGTGTTTTGTAATGATAACGATTGATATAGCTTATTTAAGCGTAGAATGTGGGGTTGGCGTCGTGTGAATGTACGGTAGAAGATTGTCGTGCTTGTGAAGTTGGTACAGAGGGTACGAGCGCACGACGTCATCGGCTGTTACCTACCTGGTACGCGGGTGTATGCAGGTACGAGGCTATGGACTGTGCCGCAGAAAGGCGTGAACGGGGTGAAGCTCGAATCATGTACATTTGGCAGCTAAGAGTTGAAGTCTATAATGACGTACTCGAATTGAAGTTTCCTACCTGTGCACTTGGTGTGGCTGCACGTGTGCTTCCAGCTACTAGAAATGGCCCTTATCATATCCTCCGCCTAATTACCGCGATCGATATACAATATTGGATTACTCAAGTCTACTAAATGCACCGACGTTGGTCAGCGGCATCCCCACAAACCTCCCCAGTCGGTCCTCGGATGTTCCCCATCACGCCTCACGCCAGTTGCCGAGCTTAACATTGCCCCGATCTCGGTAATCAGCACGCATCGCAAGATATACAGTCTCCATTCCGCCGATGATCATGGAGGATATATATGTTCTTCTTCGGCGCTCCACCCTCTGCCGTTATATAGGGGCAGCGGGAGATTTGCGTACCTTGGGCTCTATTCTGCGCAGAACTTCAGGTCACGTCTTGCCCAGGGCATAAGGTCCGCTACAAAGCGGACAAATGGAACGTCTATCGCTATCAGCAGCGACTCCAGTGCCCCGTTCCCCCTTCGCACAATCGCCATCCCAACCCCATCTCTCCGCTAGACGACGTCGACCTCTGAGCGTGCGCCATCGCTGTAAGAGGGCGAAGCTGCAGCCAAGACCCAGAACATCCGCATCCATGTCGCCTGCGCTGGACCCCGCGACGGGTGAAACCGGCACCAAAGGATCGCGTGCGCATCCTATAGAGACATCGTCGACCCCGGAGCCGGGACGCCCGAGACGGACTACCGCGCAAAGCGACATCCAGGACACGATACAGCATCCGGGCAATGTGCGCATCAACGTCCAGGGGGCCTTTATCGTAGACGAAGAGCAGCCGGGGACGCCCCAGAGCGAGGACTACGAGCACGACCCGCACGACATCAGACTGCCGAACCACACTTCGGTAGTCAGCCATGTAGCCGTCGATGTGAGTGTACCTGCGTGGTCGTGTGCTTGATTGGTTGTGGCACGCGACCATTCACAGCGACCAGCCCCTTACAGAGTCACAGCAGCATGCTAATCCATCGTGCGCATCGCAGATAGGAGGCTCATTAGCCAAACTCGTATACTTCTCGCGCGAACCGGGCGACGATGCGATCGGCGGACGCCTCAACTTCTTCAAGTTCGAGACAGACCGGATAGATGCGTGCATAGAGTTCATGCGCAAGCTCCAGGCTGATCAGAAGCACGACAATGGATCCAGGTCGCCGGACCTGTGCATCATGGCGACTGGGGGTGGTGCGTTCAAGTACCACGACAAGATAAAGCAGGCGCTGGATGTAGAAGTCATACGGGAAGACGAGATGGAATGCTTGATTATAGGTACGATGATGACGCTGTCTACGATTAGGAGAAGTGGCGTGCTAACCATGCGTCCATAGGCCTTGATTTCTTCATCAACGAGATACCAAACGAAGTCTTCACATACAGCGAAGACAGTCCCATGACCTTCATGCCACACCCTCCCGACCCACCGAACATCTACCCATACCTCCTCGTCAACATCGGCTCCGGCGTCTCCATGATCAAAGTCTCAGGGCCGCGGCAATACGAGCGCATAGGCGGAACATCACTAGGAGGAGGAACACTCTGGGGACTCTTGTCGCTACTCACTGGCGCAAGAAGCTTCGACGACATGCTGCGACTTGCCGAGAACGGCGACAACTCGACCGTCGATTTACTCGTTGGAGACATCTATGGACAGGCGTACAACAAGATCGGGCTCAAGAGCACACATATCGCGTCGTCGTTTGGCAAGGTCTACAAGATGAAGCGCGCGGCGGAACGGGAAGCAGAGGATGGATGCAACGGCGATCTCAAGCGCAGAGAAGAAGCAGAGCACGTAGAAGGCTCTGCAGAACTCTCCCACGACCCTGGTTCCTTCCGTCCAGAAGATATGGCGCGATCTCTTCTATACGCTGTCTCGAACAACATCGGTCAGCTGGCACATCTACATGCTGAGAAACATGGATTGCCTAGGATATACTTTGGAGGCTCATTCATCGGCGGTCACTCGCAGACGATGAATACGCTATCCTATGCCATTCGCTTTTGGTCGAAGGATACGCGGCAAGCGTACTTCTTGAGGCATGAGGGATACCTGGGGGCTGTTGGTGCGTTCTTGAAGAGGCAGCCGAGGAACTGGGGGCGGAGGGAGAGTGGTGCGGGGTCTGTTAGACCTACTTCAGTTTCGTCGCGCGCTTGAAATGTGGTGACAAAGGATCTAGTCGATGTCTTGAGATTTTGACCTTTATGGGTGGTAGTCAGCATATAGAAGCAGCGTTCTTGTTGTAACATTGTTAATATCATTATTGATCTATTCAGCCTGGCGGCGCCGTACTCGATTGACTGTTTCCTAGATCCCCACTTACGAAGACCACAAGGACGGCCGCATATCTACACATCACCAAATTAGCCATAATCTCTGAGCACCTGGAGAGTGGTATACATACGCAGCCGTTGCCGCGAATAACTCCGCTCTGCGCGCATTCGTCAACAGGCCCACGCTCGCAGCGAATAAGGTGGTGAAAGTCGCTATCAATCCCAGTCTCCAGTCTGGAGATGTTACTTTGTAAAGTACGACAATTGCGCCTATGAGTAGTAACGCTGCTAAGAAGGTGCTGAAGTACGCTACAAAGGAGCTGATGGCGCGGTCCGAAGCGTAAGCTATGCCGTTGCCGGAGCGCTTGCGATCCTACGGTACTTCTATTAGCTACTACCACCCTTTCATAATGGCGCTGCTCACTGGGAATAAGAACGCCAAATGCTCCTGCGCGAAGGTGGTCAAGCGGTCTTGATCGTCTTGAATCCGTAAAGCGACCAAGTCATCGATATCATCATATATCCCAGCGCTATGTCCTCCGAGAGTAGGAAACGGCTCTTCTTTGCCGTCGCCTTCGTTGTCGAATACCGTCTTGAAAGCTTTCAAAACCTGTTTAGACGGTCTTGGAAGCGCTACTAATGTGCTTTCTAGCAGCAGCGCCTCTCGGTATTCTTTCAAGGTCTCACGAATCTGCTTTGCCAGTTCCCATCGCTCTTTCTGCCTCACATCGTTGGCTTGTACTGCCTTCTGAAGTCGAATGAAACTTCTTGCACAATGCTTCGTGGGCTTATCGGCAGTCAAATCGGCGGTGTCTAGTGCACGCTGTTTTGCTTGAAGCTCTGCCAGTTCACTCTGTAAGTACAGCAAATTCCTTGCAGCAAGCTCGCCATAGCGCTTGTAAATGACCGTCGCACGACCTGGATCGCTCGCGATGAAGTTTGCGAGGGAAGGGTAGCCGGAAAGAATCTCTGTCCGCGATTCGAGGTCGACCTGGTTATTCGTCATATTGGTACAGGTTTGGGGTTCTCAGCTTGGAGTGTTCTCTAGAGTGCGCAGCTGGCTAAGCATGCGCTGGCACTTCCTACCTGACCGGTCAAGGGCAAGCTTCGGCTGTGCTACAACCCCGCCACCCCAACTATTAAGGAAACGCTGCCCTTAGCAGGATACGTCGATGCCGAATCTTTTCATGTCAAGAGCGCATCCAACATCTATACCATGGACTACTTCACACTTCTTCCCAAGCGGACTCCACACGAAAGCGTCACATGGGCGACTTCTCCACCTCGATACGGAATCTCATCACATGATCTGATGACATACGCAGATTTTCGTTTCTCTAAGCCTGATGCACTTGAGTCTAAACGCGCGAAAACGCCCACGACCCGAGATCCTGAGCCTCAACCCCATACACGAACTACAACGTCGGCTCCACACGTACTCACCCCACATCGACCTTTGGTGTCTGAAACAAGCCGTACTCACCTGAGGCTACCAATCACACTGCACATGAACGATACACTAGCGACAGTGTTGGCGTGCGCAGACACAGGCGCTGATGTCAATGTCATATCGGAAGACTTGGTAGAAGCGCTAGGCTATAGGAATTACAAGTCATCTTCGGAGAAGTTGCAGGTTGTCTTGGCCAATGGGAAGCTTGTCGAAGCAGTTGGACAAATACAGGCGACTTGCTCCTTTGGTGTCGAAGCAGAAGTATCGAAGTTGATGACTTGCCTTTTCTACGTCTTTGCGAAGGCTGCGACTTCCATGATCATTGGATTCGATTTCCTGGAGCAGACAAGAACCATGACAGAACACAGGAGGAGGCTTGTACGCGTCCCAAGACCAATCTTTCCAGCTTTCTCTGTGTACTCAATAGGCAGACCGAAGCGTTTACTAAACTGTGAACTGAACAGAAGAGAGATTCTAGCGATGGCTGACTCGGGTTCGGAGATCGATCTGATATCTACATCTTTTGCGCATGAACATGGCCTCACAGCCTTCGCCAGAAAAGAAGTGGTTCAATTTGCGGACGGCAGTTTGGCGGTCACTGCTGGATTCGTACGCACGCAGCTTTCTATTGCTCCACCCAACGCGAATTCCGTGGCCATAGATTCAACGTACGACATCACGATCGACCTGTTTTTGCTAGATGGTTTGGCTCATGAGGTCATCGTGGGCGGAGATTCCCTACTTGATTTGAAGGTGTTCGCAGAAAATCAGCATGCTCTACTGTCAGTCCTCAATGGCTCAGGGCCTTTGGAACTGAATCACATCAGGAAGCTTGGCAGATTGGACCGCGTTATAGATCGTATCAAAAGACGAGGAAAAGGGAAGATAAACAGTAAAAACAAAGGTATGTATACAAGCCCAAGACTGTGTGACCTTGTTTCCCGCCCCAGCACAGCCCTCTAGATGCTCGTTAGAATCAACTGACAGTGACGATCTAGACGACGATCCTGAGACCATTATTGCCTCATCATCAGACCAAAGGGAGAATGCTCGCATATCGCAAGAAGAGCGCCGGTTTGCAGTCTTGCCGTTCTGCCAGCGAGATGATGAGCAGTCGGATCTTGTACGCAGATCGAGGGAGAATCTCTCAATCGGTCCGATGCCTCTTCCTACGCGGTCACGAAGCCCAGATCCAGGTGTCCTGTATTTCGTAACGCACACACCGGCACCTGATGACCAATATGTGGTGGATCCAACCCGCGGCCTCTGCCTAATCGGGGCTAGCGCTGATTAAGCGGGGAACATCAAGTGTTCGCTCGCTCGCTTCTGGACATAGACCTGTACGCAGAATCTCACATATTGAACCCAACCGTGTTGCACCTCTACACATTATGGTGGAATGCTGATGTAGAGTGAGGCTACAAATTGCGGCTAGGCAACTCTATGTAGTAATCTTAATACAAGGATATCTTCTATATACTTTGGGTATGCTGTGATATAGCTATGAGAATTAATAAACTTTTTTAGTAACGTTTGCGGTTAATACAGAGCTTAAGCAACAAGAAGAACAACCTTGTTAAGGGGGGTTAATAGAGGCTAGGAGTGCAGTACAATATTAAACAGGAGCCTTTCTATTAGCCGTAGGAGTGGGTGAAAGACTGAGGTGCTACACCGCGTGACGATGTAGTCTAGGAAAGATCGTCAGCGATGGAAAAGGCCTGGCCTGAAGAACATTTCCTTCACCTCATCCCGCAAAAGCTTTTCAATCATATCAAAGCTTACATAAAACTCGGTATAACATTGCGCGAGCTCAATACCAAGTTGAGCTTGTGAGTATACTCCAGTTCTCCCTCTGCCCCGAGATCATGCTGAATCCAAGCAGTTTGTACTAAGCCTTTCGCCTCCAGTAAGCTATTCAAGTGAGGATGCTGTTCCAGTCTCGTAAAGAAGTCCAGAATGACCATCCGCTCTTCGTCCGTATGCGTCTCACATCCGACGATGAATATAGCGAACGATGGCGGATATGTATTGAGGCTGGCGAGTATGGAGATTGCACCTTTCTTCCAGTTTTCCAGTCTTGTAGATTCGCCTGAGAAGTTTCGAGACACGCGCTCGAGGTATATCAGGCCAGCTAGTCGGGTCAGCTCTAGACAGCGAGACTGATCATCGCCTTCGCCCTCCTTCTCGATGACGGAGTCGACATCACTCAGTCGAACCTTGAGATCATCCAGAGACTGTTGGTATTCCACCGAATGATAGTGCGGGTCAGAAGCGTACAGCCGTGTGTCTAAGACGTCGGCGAGAAGCTGAACTACCGGATGAACGTATGTTGAGATAGCCGCCATATTTTTTGCTACCAACGTTCGAGCAATACGATACTGCATGACACAATGGGGACTTGCACCATTGATACCAAGCTCTTGCGAAGTTGATCGAATCATATAAGTGCGCCAATGACGGAAGCTAAAGCGGGTGAAGGTGACGAAGTGGTATAGCCACTCGAGCATGACAGCTGCATCGCTGCCAATGTGGTATGCTTCCTGATCAACAGTAGGTAGAACATTTCTCGCACCGCAGAGATGACCTATCCAATCGCAGTCGAGATTTGTCTAGGATCGTGACGGTAACGCGTCAGTCTTGTCCTTGTCTTTCCTTGATGAGTACTCACTTCTACCAAACACAAAGTCAGACCAGTGGCAATGTGCTCAATACTGGCATCATGGTCCATTTCAGAGCTTGTGGCACTTATCAGCGCGTCTATAGCTGCGTTCTTTGCACGGGCCGCATGCACCGCATCGTGTCCGCGATGGCGCGAGGCCAGTGCGACGACGGATAGCAGTAAAGCCTTTGACGCTTTTGATCTTCCGGATAACGCCATGCGTAATAATAGCCGTCCGATGCCTGCTTTTTCACGGCCTAGGGTCGGTAGGATACCAATCATCACGTTCTCAACTGCGACTAGTTAATGTCCAAACAGTCATCCCCCATGAGAGGACATACAATACTGTATTAGATCCGCATCGCTAGCAGTGATCGTTTTCGGTACCGGGACCATGGTCTGGGTAATCCTGGGCAATGCAAGCCTATATCTCTCAACATGCTCGCTTTTTACTAATTACACGTCAAGTCGTGTCAACAGCATGATTGGAGACGCCGTACCTCCGCCTTTAGCATCTCTAGCAAGGATATGGAGGAGGACATCAGTCTGCGACACATTGACCCATTGCTCAGTCCTCTGTCGGCTTATCATGCGCTGCGTTCCCAAACATGCAGTCGCTGGCAGAGATCTCTCTCGTTGGTCCTTCTGGGACCATATGAGGCGAATGCCATAGCCACCGCATGCTCGCTTGGTCTTGGAACACTTGATGCACGCAGGAACAGTGCGGTCACACGAGACCTTGCGATCTACGGAGGATGTTAACAAGGCAGGATATCCCGGACTCCACGAGACCAAGCACTACCTTTGCATGTCCAACACCCCTTCGTCGCAGTCATCCTAGATAGGTATCGCGTAAGGCTCGGGGCAGACAAAGAAGTGCACCTTTCGGGTAAGTGCTGCAAAAAGATCGTGACGCCGCATATTAGAAATCAAGAGTTCACGAGAGAAACACGCAAGCGAACAGCAGGGCGCTGGCGATGCTAGGCGGGAGTTGCAGGTGGGAGATGGCCCAGCCCGTGGAGGCCCTAAAACCCCCCGCCCCGCAGTTCTCGACGAATCACACGTAAACGACCCCAGTGGCGCCATACCCAAAATGGACGCGAAGCAACTATCTGCGAGCTCTTTGTCAGCCTCGTTACCGCCAAGCATACATCGTCAAACCATCTCCTGCAAGCCACAGGCACGATCCCTCTGGCGCATCCATCGCGGCAAGCTTAGTCGACCGCAGATGCCTTCAAACAGAACTGTAGTCAAAATCTGCGAGCTCAGTATCGTTGCTTACGAAGCCATGATGGTAGGAACACTACTGCCGCTCCAATGCGGAGGAATGGCATCGTCTCATAGAGTTGGTATAAAGGAGCTTGCTCGGCCTCGATAGTATCAGCATCAACTCACATCTCAGTATCAAACACTCCAGTTTACAAGACACTCAATCATCAAAACTCACAGATTTCCAAACACTCAACCTTCAAGAAACTTCAATCTTCACAAGCTTCACCACCAAGTCAACATGTCTTCTTACCTCATCACCGGAGCTTCCCGAGGAATCGGCCTCGCCTTCCTCGACAACATCTCCAGTAACCCCAACAACGTCGTCATCGGCCTTGTCCGCAACGTAGCTGCCTCTGAAGCCAAGGTCGCCTCTTGGAACAGAAGCAACATCCACTTCGTTCAGGGCGATCTCGAGAACTACGAGTCGCTCAAGAGCGCCGCCACTGCTACAGCCAAGATCACCGGTGGAAGCCTCGACTATCTGATCGCAAACGCCGGTTTGGTGGAGGGTGGCTTCGACTCCTTCTCCATTCTCGGCAAGGACCCAGAGAAACTCACAGCCAGCCTCACCCGCCAATTCAACGTCAATGTCACCGGCAACATCCACCTCTTCAACCTCTTCATG